TTAAGTCAAATCTGCAGTAGGGATTCTTCTACACATACAGCCTATATACACTAATCTTCCCCTCCCCCTGTAGGTCACTTTTTGTTTACCTCCCCCTTGGCGGAGACAGCCCGGAGTTTTCCTTCGGCTTAGACGGCTTCAGGAAAATATTGTATTTCACGGCATGATCAAGAGAACTCAAGTCACACCTTCTTCCCAGGGTGTAAAATGATCACACCGTTTAAGTCAGCAAAACAGTCAAGTAAATCATGAATTGTTCTCTTGCCACACGCTACAGAATTAAAAAAGACGTTAATACCTAGAGTTCAAGATAACAGCAGAGTGTGTGTGTGTGTTGAAAGAATTATTAATCTCCCAGGAGGCTTTTCTGCCGGAGGGGCACTAGCAGATGCATCCTTAGATTAAACTTTCATCAGCGGATCTCTGTTTTTCATCAATCTTTCATTAGCACATGGCTCATAAAATCATCTGGTCAGGTACCGTTAAAGAGCTTTTCATCTTCCAAAGAGGAATCCAACCAAATAAATTACTACAAGGGAAAAGTCTGGTAATATATATATATATGAAGGACCTGAAGATAGCAATGACTTTCAAATAACTTAATATTCAAGTCAAGAGACACGAGTTACTGTTTTAGTCATCAAAATCATTGTCTTCCTGACAAGGAACAGAAAAGAGTAATTTCCCTAGGAAAGGCCATGTGGGATTTTTGAAAGGCGCTCCCTACTATGAAAATGGCAGGCAAGGAGAAAAAGAGGTCTCCTCCCCCCCCCCCAATGCTGCAGATCTTCAACATAAACTGGTTCCCAGACCCATATCCGCCATCCAGTCTCCAATCTCAACACTTATAATCTGCAGGAAAGTGTTGCAGGTACATTTAGACAAACCAAATCCCTTCAACATCCATGGAAAAGAACCTCTCATGTCACTGAGTCTAGGCTCGGCTCATCTTTCCGTGCCCTTTCCCACTGCTAACACCATGCTACGTATGTTAAGGGGCTCTCCAAAACCAACATTCGCCCAGTAATGCAAACACCCCTGAGGAATCACACTGGAAATTCTCATCCTTCCTCACAAACAGCGCACTGCAGTAGCATAGCCTGATGAGAGCATGGCTTAACTTGGCCAAAGCATGCCTCTCGGGAAAGGGCTGTAGCTGGCATAGCAGCTGAAGATGAGTAACGATACTACATGTCACAGAGCAGACCTGCACCTATGAGCACAGATCTAAATGCCCCCTAAAGCTGCGGTGGCTCAAGTGGTTAAGACGCTGAACTGCAGGCTGTGGAAGGTCAGTAGTTCAGCAGTTCGAGACCCAAGTGTGCCGCAAGACGGAGTGAGCTCCCGTCTCTAGTTCCAGCTCCTGCCAACCTAGCAGTTCGAAAGCAAGAAATTGCAAGTAGATAAATAGGTACCACTTCAGTGGGAAGGTAACAGCGTTCCATGTGCCTTGGTGTTTAGTCATGCCGGCCACATGACCACGGAAACGTCTTCGGACAGCGCTGGCTCTTCGGCTTTGAAACGGAGATGAGCACCGCAACCCTAGAGTCGGATTCGACTGGCTTTCGAGCAAGGGAACCTTTACCTTTACCTTTAAAGCTGTGAAGCTGCTTGCTCATGGAGGATCCACAATCCCTGACTGACCCTGTTGTCGACCGATGGCGCCTCAGTATCATCTGGACCCAGCTTCAGGTTTTTTTCCAGCCCTCATCCTCTCCATGACATTTTTTCAAACGCTCATTCAGGAAGTCCATTGACACATGGGACTCGTCCAGAAAGAAAAAGCAGAGCTGCATGCCATCAGCATACAGACAGAAGTGCACGTCAGCTCTTTGGCTTACTCAGTGGTTTCATGTGGGGTAGAATGGGGTAGAAGATAGCTAGGGAGCACATCATAGCACAAGTACTACAGGGGCAAGCAGCAGCATCACTATCACACACGCACGCATGCACAAAACGGCCTTATGCTGAATCAGACCCTTGGTCCATCAAAGTCAGTAATTGTCTACTCAGACTGGCAGTGGCTCTCCAGGGTCTCAGGCAGAGGTCTTTCACATCACCTACAACCTCATCCTTTTAACTGGAGATGTCAGGGATTGAACCTGGGGCCTTCTGCATGCCAAGCAGAGGTTCTTCCACTGAGCCACAGTACCCTCTGGTACTGGTCTACCAGACTGAAACAGAAACACTGGAACTCAATGCCCCTGATAGCCATATCGGTCTAGAAGAGTGGTCCCCAATGTGGGGCCTGTGGGTACCACAGTGTCCGCCAATACCTTTTCTGGTGTCTGCAAAGTGGGTGGGGCAGGTAGGGCTTTTGCCCAGCAAGGCATCTGATTGACTACTGGAGATCTGATTGGCTATGCAGATTTTTTAATATGTTGCTTTGGCAGCGGCTGCCACCACAGCACAAGGATCTACAGAGTGTTACTGCAGTTAAGTGGTGGCAATCATTTTGAGTCTGGCTCCGCCTCCTGCAGCAGCCATTTTGTTGCTGCGCCCACCGTACCTCGTTAGAATTCCCAGTGTGCCCACAGGCCCAAAAAGGTTGGCAACCCCTGGTCTAGAAAGACAGTGTAGTGGATGATACTGAAAGTTGCCGATCGTGCCTGAAGTATCAACAGGTTTGTATTTCCCCATCTCTTCCCTCCCCCCCCAGCAAAGTCCATCTATGAGGTCAACCCAGGCAGTTCCAGGACCAATACCAGGTCAGAAGGTGGACCAAAAAGGACCCAGATAATCCTTCTCCTTCAACAAAGCCTGAAGTTGCACACCTAGCACTTGCCAAAACCTCTTGATCAGATCCGGAATATTTGCCACAAAGTCTACAGTTACTTAAATCATTCAGAACCAAGAAGGGTGTCTTCAGAAGGACTTTCACAAGGGACTCCTTGAAGGCAACTGGCAGTTCCCAGTCCTTTGAAGAAGCATTCACCACCTCCTTAGTGCAAGAGGGCAACCTTCTTTGAAGGGATGTAGTTATTCTTGAAAGGCCAAAGAACAGCACCGAAGCAGCAGGCCCACCCTTTGAAGCAGTTTCTATTCGTCTTCAGGCTGTAACAACTTACATTCATCCATTCAAAATGCTTAGTCTGGTAATATTCCGAGACAGATTCAGGTGAGGTGGCTGTGTTGGTCTGAAGAACAGAGCCCTGTCTGAGTCCAGTGGCACCTTTAAGACCAACAGATTTTAATTCTAGGTATAAGCTTTTGTGTGCATGCATACGAAAGCTTACACTCAGAATTAAACTTTGTTGGTCTTAAAGGTGCCACTGGACTCAATATTCTGAGATGAAACAGTTAAAACTGGCGGAGACAAAGTCACAGTGGACAGAAGAAATTCTGTCTGTGAGATGTCTAGCCAATATGAGATAGCAAATTACTAAACATTCTAAAAATGCAGGGGAAATTAACGTGATCCAGCAGATTTAGATATATAATACCACTGGTAGCGCTTGATTTTGTCATCATCAATCTGCAGGTTTTTTACGTATGTGGTGGCACTGTCCATGTGCCGTGAATTACTGGAATAACATATGTGGCAAATGGAGAAAAGGGTTAAGGATTAGTGTACACCTGAATCCAGAAATCTTTTTGTTGAATCACATATCTGGTTTTGCCGTGAAATATCAGGAAATCCTTTTAATCTGATTATGACTGTGCACTTGTTTTTGCTCAGTATAGGAAACTAAATGAGGCACCAGGTACACAGGAATGGCTAGATAAGGTTAGGTAAAAGGTAAAGGTTCCCTTGCTCGAAAGGGCAGTTCTGCCCTTCCTGGTGTCGGGAGGAGGGGACCCCCAGAGGCTCCTATCACAGTTCAGGGATTTGAGTCTTGTAACCTACCTGCGAGAGAGTCATGGCCCACGGTTTGAGAATGATGGTCTTACAGTAAAGGTAAAGGTTCCCTTGCTCGAAAGTCAGTCGAGTCCGACTCTAGGGTCGCGGTGCTCATCTCCGTTTCAAAGCCGAAGAGCCAGCGCTGTCCGAAGACATTTCCGTGGTCATGTGGCTGGCATGACTAAACACCAAGGCGCACGGAACGCTGTTACCTTCCCACCGAAGTGGTACCTATTTATCTACTTGCAATTTCTTGCTTTTGAACTGCTAGGTTGGCAGGAGCTGGAACTAGAGACGGGAGCTCACTCCGTCATGCGGCAACTCGGGTCTCGAACTGCTGAACTACTGACCTTCCACAGCCTGCAGTTCAGCGTCTTAACCACTTGAGCCACCGCAGCTCCTAGATAAGGTTAAAGAGGTTCATATAATTATGAAACTTACTGTATTACAGAAAGGTAACTATCCTGCATTGTTTGATCACCTGTAGACTTCTGTTACTAATCAAATTGAGGCAACTTCATACTTTTGTTTGGTAAGAATTTTCATTATGTAACTTTTTCAGTATGGATACTGATGAAATTATTTAAAAAAATAAAAAAATTCTAAAATCACCTAATTTGGAACAAAACGGAGAAACCCCTTTACAAGTCACAACAGGACGGAATACGGACGGATTTGGGCAGACAGAATGGTGGCTAAAATCATCTTGATGTCGTCACCACCAAGGAATAGACACAAATCCACGCTCTAACCTGAGTCTGGCTGGATTTGGTGAGTTCTTCTCCACTGAACGCATCAGGTTTTCTGTCCATGTGCTTCATTGCTCCTAGCTTCTCAGTTAACCAGGAAGCAGAATGTTCAGGTAGGAAGGAGGGATTTAGGAGTAAGGAACTTCAGATCTACTTGAGCCACAACACACCAGAATGTTTTCTGGTGCATCACCAGATTAAGCAGTAACCCTACAGTCACGCACGTGAGATGGGGCTGCTCAGGCTGCATTACACTGTTAACCATCGTTCGATTGAGAGAAAAATTGACACCTATCTATCTGTTCTTCAGAGACACACATTCAATTGTATGCAAGGACGTGGTCCTTATCTAGCACATGTTGTATTGTACACCAGCCGACTTCAACACCAAGAAGAAAGAGTCCACTCACCGGCCATTGTCACGGCCTACTCCCCAGACACGGATGCTTACGATGGGTTGAGAATGAAGAATACTGCGATCCATGGGGTCAACCAAATTTAGCATGTCATTCTCCAGGATAAGGTACATGTCTTTTCCCTAATGAAAGTCAAACAGTAAATAACCAATTAATCAACCAAACACAAATTGGGCATTTGTAAAACTTACTCAGGGGAGGGGATGGGTGGCGTTATCAAGGGAAAGTGGCAGGGCTATTTTTGGGCAGGAACGCACAGGAACGGAGTTCCGGCTGGCTCCCAAGCTGGCCACAGCCAGCAGGAACTCATTAGCATAATAGGCCACACCCAACAGCAGGAACTCATTAGGATTGGCTACATTAGGGGTGTGTGGCCTAACATGCAAAGAAGTTCCTGCTACAAAAAAAGGACCTGGGTTTTGACAACAAACAAGGTAAACAGAATAAGAAGCAAAAGGTGGGTGTGGCTGGATGAGCACACTTTTGGTAACATGAGGGTGCGACCTAATATGCTAATGAGCTGTGTTGTCGGGGTGTGACCTAATATGCTAATGAGTTTCTACTGTTGGGCGTGGCCTATTATGCTAATGAGTTCCTGCGGGCTTTTTCTACAAAAAGAGCCCTGGAAAGTGGGAAGGAGGTGCTTAACCCTTTCTCCACCTGTTGACTCTCCTCTCATTTATCATCTCCCCAGTCCCAATCAGCTGGGCTCTGGAAGAAGACCCTGCTGCGAGAAAACAGCCAAGGGGGGCTTTCACAGGACAGAACTGGCGAGCACAGGAATGATGAAGTACCAGGCCTTCCTTCTGTTTCCTGCCTCTCCTTGGAGGCCTGGTCTATACAACAGAATGAGGTAGCAAAATGCTGAGGGAGCAGAATGGACTGTACCGTTTCAGACTGCAGGAGATAAATTATATTATTTTAAAGTTTGCCTACAGGAATAAGGAAAAAGAAGAAAACAAGATCTCCAACGTGTGAACGGCTTATCTGCAGGGAGTTTTTTCAGCACAGGGGAGGATGCGTTAAGAATTTTATTTATTTAAATATTAATACACTTCTGGACTCAAACCAGTTTACAAAATGCACACACCAAACTACTTAAAGACACACCAACCTTAGAACAAGAAAATAGATAAATGAACACACACACACACACACACACACTTGAAGTGGTACGGTCCATTCTGCCACCACAGAATGGCTTTGATTCTGTTGAAAGTTTCGTTTTCGTTTTCTCGCCCCTTCTGCTGCGGCCCAAAATGCTCTCTTGAAATGCTCTCGCTCCAGGAGGAAAGAGGAGACCCAGGAACAGCATGAAGGGGGGAGCGGAGGTCTGCCATGGGAGGGGGAGAAATTGGCAAAAATTGCCCCCTCTCCTTTTGTGCATGGAAACGATTGGTGGGATTAGGGTTGCCAAATGGGCCTGGGGGGCAGGGAATCCCCCGCTTCGGAGGCCCGATTTCCGCCACGGCGGAATCGGGCCCCAAAGGGGGGAAAACCATATGGTTTCCCCCCCGACGATGTGGGCCACGCCCCCAACGTGAGCATGTAGCACGTCACTTCTGGTGATGTGCTGCTGGCGCGCGCGCCCCCCTGACGAACTCCCGGACACCGGCAGGGCTCCCCCACTCCGAGGGGTGAGTCTACTTGGCAACCCTAGGTGGGATCCAACCTTGTGAATGGTATGGAGAAGAAGGATAGAGAACTTCTTTCTTCTGTTCTGGTTGCAGAACGCAGAGAGATCCAAAGAAATGAACTGGCAGTCAGAACGCACAAAAAGAAAGAAACTACTGAACACAGAACAGAATTAATGTCTGGACTATGCTACTGCAAGATGTGGAAATGGCCACTTGCTCTGAATAGTATTAGTTGTGGTGGCTCGCAGCAGCTAACAAATCTAAGTCCAGAGACTCTGTCTCTGAATACCAGATGCTGGGGTCAACTAGGGGCTCCTGGCTCCTGTGCCACTATTAGAAACAAAAAGCTGGACCAGGTGGACCCTTGGTCTGATCCAGCAGGGCACTTCTTATAAAGGGCAAGAAAACGTACCATTCTCCTAACATGGAAATACACGCAGGACACCTGTAGTGACCTCTGGTTCTCAGAGTCCCTACAGTTGGTTGCGGAGCTCATCCAGCCCTCGTTCCTCTTTGCCTGCAGCTGCTGCGTCCAACTTTTGGAAGAAGGAACAAGCAGGTGCCACTAGGAAAGAGGGTGAGACGTTTCTTACCTCTCCCCAGATGCCAACTGTGTCTCGTATATCATTTTTGCAGTAGGAGAGCTGCCGGATACAGTTGTTCACAGCAACGCTGCTTTTTCCGGGGGCCAGGTCTTCCTCGGCCATTTCTACCCATCCCAGAGACCGAACGGCAAAGCACTGTAAAGACATGAAAGACGCCGGTGTTACATCCTAAATCCAAATGATGCCCACAAAAGACCATGCCTTATTTTTTGCACCACAAATTTAACATCGCTCATTTTGATTCATGGATTCATCACTAATTTTTTGCATCTATTTCTGCATCGCTCTGACTGAAGAGGGAAAGATTAAAGCATGTAAAATCCATATCTTAACAAGGCTTATATTTGCTAACACAGAGCAAAAGGGATGTGTACCTTTGAATTTGATATTCACTGCATTCCGTTCTCACGTAGATTTATTTACTAGGTTTTTTTATAGCCCGCCTTTCTTGCTGAGACTCAAGACAATTTAAACAACAACAACAACAACAAATGCAATCAGCCAGTTTAAGACACCAAGCAAGCAATGCCATAGGTCTACGGTTACAGGAAATGTTTCTGCCACATTGATTTTGGTTACAGTTGGGAGGAGGGAGCAAACTACAGCCCGTGTGTCATGGCCAGGCCACAGACAAGGTGATAAAAATATATGCACCCAGGGCTCTTTTTGTAGAAGAAGCCCAGCAGGAACTCATTAGCGTAATAGGCCACACCTAACAGCAGAAACTCATTAGCATATTAGGCCACACCCCCGTGTTACCAGAAGTGTGGTCATCCAGCCACATTCACCTTTTGCTTCTTATTCTGTTTACCCTGTTTGTTGTCAAAACCCAGGGCTTTTTTGTATCAGGAACTCCTTTGCATGTTAGGCCACACACCCCTAATGTAGCCAATCCTAATGAGTTTCTGCTGTTGGGCGTGGCCTATTACGCTAATGAGTTCCTGCTGGGCGTGGCCAACTTGGGAGCCAGCTGGAACTCCGTTCCTGTGCGTTCCTGCCCAAAAATAGCCCTGTATGCACCCAAATCAAGGGCTGCCAAATGTCCAGGTCAGCTCTGTGCCCCAATGGCATGTCTGGAAGTAAAGATGTGGCATGTCTGAAGTGACACGGCCCCAGCTGCTCTAGGATCTATGATGGGCACAGTCTCCCCTTTAAAGATGGCCCTTCTAAAGTGGGTCCTGGCCCACCAGAGGGTTTCCATATCTCAATTTGGCCTTCAGACCAAAAACTTTTTTAGTGCCCCTGAGTTAAATAATATTTTATTTGGATGTACCCTCACAGAACAGATTCGCCTGTCTTAAAAGCTGTTCCAGAGGTCCTTGATCCTGGGGAAGTTGCAAGTGTGGAACTAGCGCAACTTGTAGCCGGTTTGCCATTTTTAAAAGATAAGAACCAGGAGATTACTACATATTCAGGGGAAGATTTGCCAAAGGAGAAGCCCCAGTTATCTCACGAGAGTAAATTAGAGCTGATCACACTGGGTCAGCAAATGCTGCTAGTAGCTCAAACGGTTCAAAAAATAATTGCTTTAAAAAGTTTGTGATCTATATTTGACTATGTTTATTATATCCTAATAAAATGTTTTTTAAAAAATAATTGCTTCATTGGAGACGATTTTAGAAACAACCAATGCTTTACAAAGATTGATAAGTTGTTGATGGATGTACCCTCTCACGCTCAGCCATTGCTTACTATACAAACCACTAGTTTTTAATTATGCACTCAATGGATCAAGTTCTGCTGGTGGTCCCCAGCCCCAAGAATGTCTGCCTAGCCTTGACCTTTTCCGCTCTGGCTCCGGCCTGGTGGAACACGTTCACTGCGGGGACTTAAATGAAGTCCATCTGCCCCATCAGCATTAAGTGTTATCCATCTGCACACGTGTGGGAAATTAATACGGAAGCAGTTAGACATGGAATAATTGCCTGACACCGATGATTGTTATATCTGTTGTTGTATATTGATGTCTTACTGTTGTTTAAGGTTTGGTCTGTAGTTTTAGACACTGGATTATGTATTTATTATCTGTTGTAACCCGCCCTGAACCTGACTGCGGGGTAGGGCAGGTTAGAAGCCAAATGAAACAAACATTTTCCCTGGACTGGCAAATGGTATCTTTTAATCACACAGAAAGTTATTCACTACACAAAAGTTGACGTCATCCAATCACATGGTGCTGACTGGTTGGCATCAAGCAGCAATGCAAGACCTTGGCAACTCATCTGAATGGCACACAAAATTTACCCTTGCCATTTCATAGATTGCTGGTCTATCTAACCTTGGCATACGTAAATCACATTCCACTATAATTTTCTGTTTTGCTGTGTCACATTTCTACACATAGGAAGGTACTGGTAGAGCTCTTATGGCAAAAGATCCCGCCACAATTGGCTCCTCCCATTCCGACAACTGGCTCCTCCCATTCTCTTCCACCAGAGTGGTCTGCCTCCACTCCTCTTATTACTGCCATGCTGAGCAGAATCAGATGACCACCGGGGGTTGTGGCGCCTAATTCAAAACTCTACAGCCCCAATCTAGAAAAAGTTAGCTGTGCTCAAATCTTGTTGAAATCAACGGGACAAAAGTATATCCCAAACCAACTAAAGACTGGATGATTTTATGAAACGGAGAGGTGCCTGACTTCTTTTGGATCAGGACCCCAGCATGTGTGTTCATTTCAAGCTAGTGGTGAAACTGGTTACTTGCAATGTGTGACTATGTGGTAAGGTCCATTTGACGACATCTCTGCAATCACACACTTTCAACCGGTTGCAGCATCAGCGCAACGTCTGCCTGGGTGTGTAATCTCCATGTGGTTGCAGTTGCTATATGTTGAGCCTGTGATGCAAATGGGCCACTTAAAACCATCACTGAATTGCATCCTCACATGCCCCAAAGGGCAACCTTTCGGCACAAATAAAATAAAATGAAATGAAATCAGTCACAGCCAGTTATGTAAACAGAAGTACATAAAAGAAAGGAAGTACAACCTGTGCAGACCAAAGGAATTTATTTATTTATTTTATTAAGATTTATACCCCGCCCTCCCCGCAGAGCGGGCTCAGGGCGGCTTACAAGGGGAAAACCCATATAAAACAGATAAAAGCAATAAAACATTAATGACAATTAATAAAAATTATACTGAATTTAACAAGATGGTCTCCGGATGGCTCTCCAGGGTGATGTTATCCTATAGCGCAACCAGGTAAATCCAGTGGCCACGCAGAAATTGTGGCAGATCTTCCTGGGCCATCCTTAACCCCGATGTTGTCCACCTCATTGGTGGCGGTGGTAGTGGTGGCCCCTATGTGAAAGCCTGGCGGAAGAGCTCCTTCTTACAGGCCCTGCGGAACTGCATAAGGTCCCGCAGGGCCCTGATCTCCTCCGGGAGCTTGTTCCACCAGGTAGGGGCCACCACTGAAAAGGATCTGGTCCTAGTTGTGGCGAGCCTTGCCTCCCGGGGGCCTGGAACCACCAGGCGATGTTGTGCCCCGGACCGAAGTGCTCTTGGGGGTATATATGGGGAAAGGCGGTCCCTCAGGTAAGTCGGACCCCGGCCATGAAGGGAATGCATTCTTAAGCCAACATTTAGTCATGTTCACAGTCGAAAGAGCTAGAAGCTGAATGCTTGAA